TGAATGGTTATCAGCGTGAGTATGTGGACTGATGGCTGGATGGGTGAATGGTTATCAGCGTGAGTATGTGGACTGATGGCTGGATGGGTGAATGGGTGAATGGGTGGCTGAGTATGTGGACTGATGGCTGGATGGGTGAATGGGTGCCTCTATGGGCATAAGAACAGACGTGTGAGTTGGAGAAATGTAGCCAGGGAAAGAGAATAAGACTCAAGAGGGACCTGAAATTGGGCTTCAAATTTAAGGCTATATGAAGAGAAAAGAGATTTTACACATATAGACACCCGATGGGAGAATTTGCCTGGTATTATATTCCCCATCGGGCACCTTTGATCTAGTTTCCATCCATCCCTTGGTGGCTTAGGCTGCATGCCAGCTACAGACAACTGGGACTTTAGACTTTGCCCTTTCGAGGTGCACAACCTCCTTCATAGGCCACATCAGAAGGCTCTGATTTGGAAACCCCACTAAGTGAACTGGACTTCACTTTACACTCACGAACTGTGGCAGACTAAAGGAGTTGGCGTACTCCCTTGGACTTATGGCAGGAAAGGCCTAGCGTGAGAAGTAGCAGATGACTTGTGGATTTGTACCGTGATGGATTTGGAAGCTATTGGGCTTTGGTTCCAATCTCTTGCTTTGAGGGTATCCAATAAATGGCAACTGGAGGCTACCATATGTTGGCTATTTCCTCCTCTCTTTGCTTTTTCTGACATGTCAGTGTAGCAGGCAGAGAATAAGCATTCCTGAAAGTCTGGTCTTATCTCCAACCCTCCTTGTTTGTGTAAACAGGGTCAAGTCACTTGAGTTTTTAATCTGTGCAAGTCAACAATCCATGTATTTTAGTCTAATCAGCTGCCATATACATGTATGTTTCCCTTTCTCAACAGTAGTTTGCACTCTATTCCACTGGCTAAAATAATGATATGACCAATAGGATTACCATATGCCCCATGAGGATGACTTATAATGTTATCATTAAAGTGATAATGATGTCTCTGGTTTGAACCAAGGACATAAATCATCGATAGATGAATGGATTTTGAGTTAACACTTAATTGTAGCCCAAATTGAAGAAGAATTCATTCTTATGATGTGAATCAACTCCCTACCTGTCCTCATGATAAGGTCACTGAAGGTATGCGTGCTGTAGTTAAGCGTGGTTGAAGAAACAGATGGTGCATGGCTATGGAAAGAATAGTGTCTGGGATCTTAAAAGCTTGTCCTAAAACAAGCAGTCATTTAAGTGAGGGCAGATAAGTCCACCGAGAAGAAGCATACCAACCTGTGTGATGCAAGGATCATAAATAATAAAATCCAAAACTGGAGGAGAGAATGATATTAGAGCTTAAATTCTAAGCACCCAGGTTGCAGAGGGCTATGGATGACCGTGAAAGTCCAAAATCCATTTGTAGGGTCCCCCCGGTGGATTTAAGCCTCCAGTAAATCTTCTCTGACCATGTGAACAGCATTGCTGTCAGACAGAGCGCACTGGAAAGCGGACTCACGCAGATGTAGTTTGGTTAATATTTAACACCTTATCATTGGTTCTCCCTTTTGGCCCATTTAAAATCTGTTCTAGTTTTTATTATTTTATGCTTCGTTTTCTATTGAAATTTTTCTCTGTTTTAGTTTGTAATTGTTGTTGGGTTTTGCTTTGTATATTTTTCTTTCTATAAAATCCAACATAAGTAAATCTATAGAAACAGATACTGGATGAATAGTTTCTTAGGGTGATGACAGAGGAGGTTGGGGGTGGTGATGGAATGAGGAGCTAATAGCAGTGAGGACAAGAAAGAAGAAAATGTTCTAAAAATTGATTGTGGTGATGTGAATGCACCACTCTCTTTAATATGTTTAAACCAACGAATTGCATGATGTATGGACTATATGTCAATAAAACCATTTAAAAGAAGGACTAGATTTGGTCTTTCTGTCCCTGCAGGACAGACTCATGCAACTGGGTGAAGGCCCATTTTGGCGAGGCAGAGATGGAGTGGACAGGTAATGTGTGCCCCTTGTCCAGGAGGCCTGAGTCAGTCAGTCGGTCAGTCAGTTAAGTCAGGGATGGTGTCACGGGGGCCCCTCCACTGAGTAAATTCTGGACTGATGACCTCTGAGCCCCTCCCTTTGCTAACACTGTTAAATCCCAGGCCAGAGGTGCAAAGACACCAGCAGGCTCTGAGAAGTCCTGAGTGGCCTGAAACCTGGCTCAGGCTTGACGGACATCTTCTAGATTAGGCTGTTTGGACTGAGCAAGATGCTCGCTCCCCACCTGTGTCTATGATGTACAATGCCTACTGCCCCCCTTCCCTCTTTCCCACCCTCTTCTGGGGCCCGCTCTAATCTCCAGCAGAGAGGAGCAGTGGGTAAGTTCCCTGTTGTTACACCTGAAGGTACACAAACAGTCCTGCCAGGGTGAAGCCAGAATTCTTGTCCCCTCCGGAAATCCTTCCAGTTCCCCTGGGGTGGGGAGGGGTGGGGAGCTGACACCACCCAAAGTGTCCTGGCAGCATGCTCCCCGCCCCGAGTCACAAACCAAGTGTGCTTCAGGAAGCTCAGGCCAAACTGGGGACAGTCAGGGTGAAGGTGTCGGTGCCCCCACCAGAACACCAAGTGGCATCAGCTTCCATGGAGGGCACCAGGGTCAGAGACAGAAGCAACAAATCCGGGGAGCAACAAATCAAGCGCCCCAGAGGAGAGCTTGGGCTTTGATTCACATAGACTGGGGTTCACATCCTGGTTCTGCCGTGTGACTCTGGGGCCATTACTCAGACTTGCTGGGCTTCTGTGTCCTTGCTGTGACATGGGAACAATGGCACCTACATAGGGTTGTTGTGAGGGTGGGCCTGGCACTCAGTCAGGGCCCGTAAGTGTGGGTGGTTCGTTCTATGACCTCTCTCTCTGCCATCCCCAGCCCCAGAGCCCACGCTAGGACCCTCGCTGGCTCTTGCTCTGACCCCTGCCTGACTCTGTGGCTTCGGTCCTGTACAGGGGGGTGGTCACTCTCAGGAATGCCATTGTCACTCTCAACAAGTGGCTGGAAGCTGCTCATACCTCCTGGGAGCATGGTAGTACACCGACCCTCAGTTGTCCCTGCAGCTCCCATGGGGAGAGGGGCTTCCCTCTGCCAGGGACCACACACGTGGGGCTGTGAAACCGCAGGCCTGGGCTGGGAGGCCCTCATCCCACAGCCAAACCTGCCACTGCCTGACTGTGTGACTCTGGGCCAGTCCCTCATCACCTGGGCCTCAGTTCTCATTTTTAACAGAGAGGTCGGACTAGATGCGTTCCCAGTGTCTTGCAGCTTGAATGTTCCACAGGGTTGTCATTTTCATGCATAGTCTAGGGGATCAGATTCCAGGGGTTGAGGCACAGTTAAACTGGAGGTGAGTTTCTATTAAGTGGAACCACATGAACTGGCTCATTTGTTTAGCCTAATAGGGGAGTGGCACACGCGCCATTTAACTTCTCTGGGTCTCACCTGAACACAGGAATAAGTGCCGATGGCCACCTGACGGTGCTGTCACTGTCAAGGGCCTCCTGGAGTCCTTCCCATAGACTCTGGGCCATGAGGGGAGGGGAGGCATCTGATGCCATGTCCCCTGAGATGGCCGAGTGGTCAGTTGTCACCTGGGCCAGCCCTCACAAGGGCTTCCTCACCAGCCCCACTGTCCTGGTCACGAGTGCCCACCAGCTGCTCACCAGGCCCATTGATGCCCCGAGATGCATAGTCTCTGAAGAATGCTTTGAGAGCCCAGCATCCCTCCCACACACTGCTCTAGGGTCAGTGCTGACTCAGCCCCATGGGTTTCCCAGACTGCTTCTCTCGCCTGCTGGGCAGCTGGTGGGTTTGCACCGCTGGCCTGTGGTTAGCAGCCCAACCCTCAGAGGCTGACCCGCTGCACTTGGTGAGGAGCACAGTTTCCTTGAGCCTCAGGCTCCTCCACTTGAACCGGGGCTAAGGCTAGGGCTCTGCGGCACATCCCTCAGGGGCCAGGGAGGCTCCTTCCTGCCCCAGGGGATGCCCGCCCAAGGGTGGGGGGCAGGGGAAAGGCGGTCTTGGCGCAGCCCCTCCCAGGAAGGAAAACACATCTCCCATTGCCCACCGCGCCCCCCACGCCCCAGCCAGCCGGATGCGAGTGAGAAGTCCGCCCCAGGGGGACACTCGGGAGGGGGGTGCGTTTACTCACCCGGCTGCGAGTACACGGTCCCCACGTCCATCTTGAAGGACCCCACCAGGGTGCCGCTCCGCAGCAGGTTCTTGGAGTGGATCACCTTCCGAGCAGAACCGCCGCCCGCCAGTCAGGCCAGGAGCAGGGAGGCTTTGGCTGAGGCGGTGGGCTGGCTACTGGGGCCCACCCCAGTCTTCCTGGGGAGCTCAGCTTGGCGGTGAAGCATGAAGCAGGGGGGTGGG